GGGTTTTAGGGTTGAGGGTTAGGGTTTTAGGGTTTAGGGTTTTAGGGTTTAGGTTTTAGGGTCTAAATTCCTTCAAGGGGAATTAAATGGGGGGCTATTTTCGTGGATTATTAAGGGAGATACTGGGAGATTAGACCCTAAACCCTAAAACCTATATGATAGGGGTTCTACAGGCGGATACTGGAGTTTAGACTACAGCTCATATGCAGGCAAAATCCACAAGTCTTGCCATTGTGCTGGATGAACTGAAGTTGCGAGGACTCGCGGAAACGCCGGCACCCACGACGTGCAGCTGGGCGTCCAGACACTCAAGGCATTTGCAGCAAAGCGTTAGCCAGAAGGCTTAGGGGCTCGATCAGAGACCGCAAAGATTGCAATTCCCATTCCTGGATACCCACGAACATTATTTCAGAAATCGTGCCTGTTGGCATGGTGAGTGGCAGACAGGTAAGCGCTGGTCAGAAATCGAAAGTAAGAATCGCAAGAATTCAAAAGAAGAATCGTTGAATTAAGGAATTACTTGTCAGCTTGAAGATCTCTTTGACACATGCTTTCGAGTTGCTTCACTGCTCGGCATTTTCGTGGCAATGCTTTTGTTCAACAGTGACCCAAAGCTTCGATGCCGTCCCTGCTGCTGCTGGTTGCCACTGCTATGTCTACAACAGACGGGGCAAGTGCACATCTAAATTCGCCCTGCAACGATGATCTCTAAACCCTAAACCCTAAATCGTAGTTTCCAGTTTATTTTCCACTTTCTCAATATAGCCACAATCCTAAGGTCCTAAACCCTAAACCCTAAATAGTGGTTTCCATTGTATTTTCCATGATCTCAATATAACGCTACTATTACCCCAACATCACGCAGTAACCCGCCAACCCTAAACCCCTAAACCCTAAACCCCTTAATCCTAAACGCCTAAACCCTAAACCCCCAAACCCCTAGACCCTAAACCCCTTAACCCCTAAACCCCTAAACCCTAAACCGCGTTAAGTAGCCTGGCCCGTTGGTTCAGGCCCTCCGGAGAGGTGAGGCCGAGGCCCTTTGGGGGGAAGGGGCCGAAGTGAGGAGTAGTTTGCCATCCTTGTGCCTTAGACCCCAGAGGTATAATGAAGGTTCAGTGTTTAGGGGTTTAGGGTTTAGGGTTTTAGGCATTGAGGGTTTAGGGTTTTAGGCTTTTAGGGTCTAGGGTTTAGGCTACATTGTAGTATATTGCGGTATATTACAGTATAGGGGTTATATAGGGATAATGGAAAACAAAATGGAAACTACTCTGATAGGGTATACATGAGGGTTATAGTGGGGTAATGTTGAAGTAATATAGGGATAATGGAAAATGAATTGGAAACTACTACAGTATATTATAGTATTGGTATGAGGGTTTAGTTTAAGGCTTGGGTTTGGAGGCTTTGAGTTTCAGAGGTTTCAATGGTGATGGTCCAGAACTGGAGGTTTGGGATTTCGTGTGGGGATTTCGGCTGTGGAGTTCAGTATGTTGGGCCTAGAGGCTTTGGCAGAGATTCTGCGGCACACTCCAGGGCCCAACGGTGAGTTGAAGCGAGTAACTATGTTGGGCAGGGTTCCGAGCCACCACTAGCAACAAATTTTCCTCAGCTCAAGATCGCAAAACAGCCTAAAACCCTAAAGCCTACACCCTAAATCCTAGGGTTTAGGGGTTTAGGGTTTAGGGTTTAGGGTTAAGTGTATTTTGGGACAGAAGTGCGGAGCCGGGTTGGTCTTTCAACGGAATTGAATTGCTGTTCAGGAACTTGAGTGAAGTGAATATGAGGGGTTTATTGGGGTTATATGACCCATGGTTTTTATATAAGGTCCCCCAAATTGGACACCAAATATATACACTCACCAATTTTCCTCGGGAACCCTATATACACTCACCAAAGACCATAATAAAAACCCTACTTCATACAGGGGATAATGGAAAATAAAAAAGGAACCTGCTATAGTATATTGGGGCTATATAGGGATAGTGGAAAATGAAACGGGAACTACTATTTACCGTTTAGGGTTAAGGGTTGCTGTGAAGGGACTTGAGCTAAGTTACCATAATACCCCCCCAATAATGGAGAATCAAGTGGAAAAGAACATTGAAAATGAATGTGTCATCTCGTCACAGATCCCAGACATGTGTCCTAAAGCTCCCCATACAGCAGGGGATGGCGTTCTGCACGCGTTCGCATCCCAAAAATGAATTGGAAACTGGGAGAATATAGAGATTTAAGGAAGTAGGGTTTAAGCTGCCATAGTGGGTATACATAATAAATAAGATGGTTTCCCCGTTTAAGTAGCTTAACTTAAGTTCCTTAAATCCCTAATATTCCCCCCGTGTCCATTTCATTTTCCATGTTCTTTTCCATTGGGGTTCTCCATTATAGGGGGATAATATAGTAACTCAACTCCCTAAACACCTAAACCCCTAAACCCTAAACCTCTAAACCCCTTTACCCTCAACCCTTAACAGCAACCCAATGTAGGTCCGATTGCCTCGATACGACAAATCCGCCCGCTCCGGGCGTGGTGATCAGGTCGGGCGCTTAGGAAGTTTAGGGTTTAGGGGTCTAGGGGTTTAAGGTTTTGAACTTAGGGCTTTAGGGTTTGGGTTTGGGTTTAGAGTTTTGGACTTAGGGTTTAGGGTTTTGGGTTGTGGATTTAGGGTTTGGAGTTTAGGGTTTAGGTTTTTGGATTGCATGTGCACATGGGAGTTTCCCGAAGTTAGGGGTACCTTTTTGGGGGGTCCCCATAATAAGGATTATAGAATTCTGGGGTCTATATTCTCGGTCCCCCTATTTGGGAAACCAACATCTATATGATGTATATGTATGTATGTACGCTTGTATGTGCTCATTTTTTGTATATGTCTGCAGAGGTGCATATATACATGTGTACCTATGTAGGTATATACACGTTCCGAAGAATGCCAATCCCCAGCACACACATCCTCAGCAAGGGGCGTGTGGCACGTGTGCAAAGGTCGCAATCATGGGCTTCGTGTAAGAATGGTTCTGCATCTCCTGGCAGCCTTACTGTGGGTTAGTAGTTTGTAGGGAATAATGGGTAGACCCCTGGGATATTTAATATTTAATAAGGGACCCTATATACTAATGTTTTTCAAATGGTTTTAGGGGCCAACTCAGATAAAGGAAGATAATCCTACATGATGTCTTCCCTTCCTTCCTACTAACCCTCCGTAAGTAACTATATGGTTTCAGAGCGGATAGCCAGGATATGGTGAGCAAGTACTACTGTAACTACAGGTGATGTTGCTATGATTCGGCTATTATTACTCTTACTACTGTTTGTTTTGCATGGATACTATCATAGCGTAAAGCAAGACGTTGCGGATGGAGGGGCAGGGAGTTCACTACGGCCTCCGAATTCTTGGTTTTGCCAACTTTGACACTTCAGAATGCAACAAGCTCTGTCCTTGCTGATATCTTAGGACTCCCCCCCACCCTGTAATAGTGGTATAATAGGAGTATAGGAGGACCCTAATCTAATCCTAATTATCCCTTATAGTCACTATTACTGGGTGGGGGTCCACCTAACTGATATCCCGTGTTCCTGAGGACTTAATCCTAAACTCTCCATCTCATATCCTTGATGCTGGATTTCTTCAACCCTTGCTTTCTGGTTGGTAGTAGGGAACATGGGGATTGTATATTCATTTTCACTTATTCTCTACTGACAACTACTAAGCTAGACGTCTACAGCCAAGCCAATCCTAAAACCCTGAACCCCTAAACCCCCTAAACCCTAAACCCCTAAACCCTAAACCCCTAAACCCTAAACCCTAAATCCCTAAAACCCCTAAAAACCCTAAAGCCCTGAGGTCCCAAAAGCGATGTGGGAGAAGGCGCGGATGCCCTGTGACGTCATCCTCCTGGAGGGCTGGCACCCTGCTCAGTCAGAGGGTTTAGGGTTTAGGG